AAACCAAACCATCGATTCTTTTGCTGGCCTTTCCCCTTCGAAAAGACATGCTCCAAGCATTAAGTTCCATACATCTTTGAAATCATTAGCCTTTACCCTTCCTCTTATTTCCATTTCACATGCTAACTTATCATAAATTGCTAAACTCCACGTTTCTTTATGTGCCAATCTTAAAGATGAATTTGTTGCTTTTCCAGTTCTTTGCAAATGCTAATCTTGCTACTGTAAACCATTATAAATAACCAATTCTGATCTTTTTTTCAGATGGTCATTCTTAATTATATTCAGGAGGGCAGAAATTGGCAGTATCTGAATCTCATATCCAATTATTTTTCTATAAATTTCCTTAAAACCTGTGCCCATTCTTCCTTATTTCACATGTCCCATATCTGAATCTCGTATCCAGTGATTTTTCTATAAATTTCCTTAAAACCAGTGCCCATTCTTCCTTATTTCACATGTCCCCTAGTCGTGGATAGTTCTGGGTTTTTTATTTTAAAGAAGCGGATAAGTGAATCAGCGGATGGGGGGGTTAGCTGGCCTTTCTTGGGTTGGTGGTCCCTGCAGGCTGACGATTCTTCTCGTCTCTCCTGTTAAGGGCTTTAAAAGATGAGACCCATGAGTTTAGCCAACCAGAAAATGTGACGTGCGTGAATTCATCAACGTCAAGATGATGGGGGTGTGGTTTCTTAAAAGTTAATGGGGAGATGGTTGTCTGGATTGAAGGGAAACAAATCATCCTCATCATCTCTCACGACTTCCTTTGTGTCTTCCATGGAATTGGCCATCGGAAAGAGCCCCGAAAGAGTAGGTGGTTGGGCAGGATATGTGTTTTAATCAACAAACTGAAATTATCTAGCTATTTTTCACGATCCCACGGCCCCTTTTAGACATTCGTAGAAATGGAATTGTAGCAAGATGGACTTGCAGGCAATTAAAAAAACGAGTGAGAATTCATTTTGATCTCCTCTCTCCTGGTATGTATGGTAGGATTCCTGTATCTGCAGGATTTCAGTTTCAAGTCGTCCCCCTGCATGGCTATTGGAAAATGCAGAATGCTATTGGAATAGCAAACAGTGTATATACTGTACATATAGAGAGCATGGTCTCTGGCTCCATTTAGTAGCCAGTGCTGGTAACTTCATTGTGGAAATCTATTTCTAACGAACATTATATACACATAGCATGCTCTCTGGCTCTCTCTAATACTTGTGTCTGGAAACTTCATGATTTAAAAAATATGTATTTGGGGGAAATTTTTCTTTTTAATATTTTCAGACCATGGATAAGTGAATCAGTGGATGCCGATCCTGCGGATAAAGAGAGTCCTACTGTATCGGGTTTGAAATGGAGAGCTCAACTGATGTTCGTTCTTGAAAGTCACCCTGTTCAATGAAGGTAGGCGCAAAAGTTGTTTCCATTTCCATATGGCTGTTTTGAAAGACTGACGCTGTGCAGAATTAAAATGAGTGTTAAGCAGTGGTTAACATACATCTGTGTTGAGTGAAACCTAAGGTGAATTGAGATGATTCAATATCATATTTTGCACCTTTTTGTATAAAACTTTGGAGACGGCTAGTGAGGAAAAAAAAACTGGACCCATATGACGTTGAAGAAACTTGACACTCTAAAAATGAGGTGTGTATATGTGTGTATTTTTTTTAAAAAGGATGGTTGCATCTCGCTTTTAATATTCAAGGGGAATGTTCTCACACCTGGATCAAAATGATTAAATATGTATTCACTCAGAGAAAGGAAGCCAGCAAGATAGCAAAAGAGAAAAATAAATTACCTTCCACGCTTTCTAGTGCTAAGCAGAATACGTTGGTAGTTCCATAAACACCACCATAAATAATAAACATTTTATGCCATAAGAGCTAGGGCTGTAGGTTGAAAAAGGCTCAATTATTCATTTACTTCCCTGCCTGAATGTAGAAAAAGATCCCAACCCCCCTCTGTGCATTTTATTACTCGGGTGTCGGTAGTGAGGAATAGTTTTCTTTTTTTAAAAAGAAAAAGAGGAAAGAAAACTTACCTCTGTATGTCAGTTCACTTTCTGTCTAAGCGGGGAATTTTGGCTTCTGCAGCCGTTCTGAGTCTTTCTGGATATAATCCTTTGGTTTTGGGGTCATAAGGCAGTTCAGATTTTTCTCTCTAAGAGGCTGGGAGTTTGATTCCACCCCACCCCCCAGTGCCTCCTGGGGGAAGAGCCAGCCTGGGTAGCCTTGGGCCAGTTGTACAGTCCCAGGGCATTCCCCCAGAAGAAGGGAATGCGAAACCATTTCTGAGTACTCTTTACTATAAATTGGAATCGACAAGCACATGATAATAATGAACACTCCTCTCACTCTTCTTTTAACCTTGAGAAAAGACGGGACTGAGCGGGGAGATAGGATAACACTTTCCAAATACTTGGAAGGTCGTTCTACGGAGGAGGGGGCAGGATCTGTCCTCCCTCATCCCAGAGTGCAGGACACATCATAAAGGGCTCAAGCGACAGGAAGCCAGATTTCGGTGGAGTATCAGGGAAAATAGGTCCACCCCCTTCTCTGATCTGCTTTGGCTTGGATTCCTTGCACTTGATGGTCTTATAAGTCCCTTCCAACTCAATCATGCAATGATTCTATAAACCATCTTAAATGGTCCAAGGTCCACCCGCTTCTCTGATCTGCTTTGGCTTGGATTCCTTGCACTTGATGGTCTTATAAGTCCCTTCCAACTCAATCATGCTATGATTCTATAAACCATCTTAAATGGTCCCGTCTTCCCTGTGAGTGTCATGACTAGAATTTGGCTCTTCTCATCTCCCACTGGTTTTCCAGTGTTGTTTCCACTACATCAGACCCCGGTTCCCAGTCTCCCCATCCACGGGAAAAGGAAAGAAAATGTTTGTTTTTTTAATGCAAGGAAAATTAGTAAAGTTGCACATTAGAGGCGTCCGTGGAGAACGGGGCCGACCGTCTGAGAAACTCAAAAAAGCTTGACCCTTCAAATCTACCCCTCCTTTTTTTTCTCCCCCCCTACCCTCCACGTCCTCCTCCTTTTAAGCCAAATTTGGAGTGCGGAATTTCTATCAACGAGCCGGGCTTGCACAGGGAAAGTGGCTTTATTCAGAGAAGCATCGTCCGATAGGAGGCAAAAAAAAGGAAAGGAAAGAAGGCAGGCGCTAAGAATCCTGTGGGGAGGGGAAAAAAGCATATCAGACCCAAGGAGCCGAGCGGCGCAGACAAAAATCTAATGTTTTAAGTGCTCAATTTTTTTCCGCGTTCCACCCCACCCCGGACAGATCCTGTTAGTGTGTGCTGTGAGGTCCTCATTGGGTCTTGAACCATCGGCTGGCAGAGAACGAATTAGAAGCATTTCTATATCTCTCTCCTCACTTGGGGTTCTCTGTTTTATTTTATTTTATTCTGAGACAGCATTTCAGCTCAGTACTCATCCAGTGTCAACCCTTGTTGAGTCAGGGGCCCCAGAGACCTAAAGGTGGCCTTAATATTATCATTGAGCAAAATGTCAAATATCTTTGGCTGGAGTGTTTCTTTTTTCTTTTACCCCTTTCCCAAGGTAAGGACGGCCGAAAGTATTCTATCCAACGGGGCGGGGGAACCGAGCTTGCATCGAGCCTGCCTCTGGAAGCCCACCCAGCTCTCCATGAAATCTCTTTCGCTATTTTGGCAGCTGCTGCCCTTACTCAATAAGAGTCCAGAAAGATTGCTTTTAAAGGACTACAGTTCCCACAATCCCTGCCAAAAGCTGGAGGTGGGTGGGGTCGCCCTCTCCAGACATTAAACTTTCCCACACTCCGCTCTCGGCCCTTCGTCAACCAAGCGGCAAAACCAGCTTAAAGCTCAGATTAAAAAAGAACGCCATTCGCGGGAGGTCAACCAGGGGTTGGTCCATCCGTGGAGAAGGCCTTTTGGGGATAAAGCTGACTCTGCCGTCCGCAGTAAATAATATCCCATGTTGTTGTTTGGTGGGGTTTTTTGTGTGTGTGTGTGCTATGGTCAGGAAAAGGGCATAATTGAAACCAAATACAGGGAGACTGTGTTTTAATTGCCAGACGCTAAGCACGTGTGTATGGGGTTTTTTTGCTTTGGTCTTTTCTCTCTCTTTTTCTCCCCCCCTTAAAAGGCGTTTTTCCCAGGCGGTTTCCACGGCCCGTCCAAAAACCTTCGTATGGCTCTCCTTAGGCCGCCCAGCTGTTTCATCCTAACCTCCCGCCTTTCCTCCCGAGCCCGGCCCTTCTCGGTCAAACTAAGCAAGGTCTGAGCGCCCTCGGTGACGAAGGTGGGCTGGCCGTGGTGGACGCCCAGGGTGTGCAGGTTGGGCCGGTCTGGCTGCTGATAGATGGCCGCCCGCCGGGAACTCACGTTCTGCATCATGTGGCGGGGGAGCTTCTCGCTGTGGGCCACCCACTCCTTCATGCAGTCGAGGACCACGGGGATGAGGCTCACCACGCCTCCGTAGTGGTTCCGGGCTTCGTCGCAGCTGAGATGGTTCACCACGTCATGGGGGTACCTGTTGTGTGTTTTCGGGTTGAAGCAGAGGAAACAAGACCCTGATGTTAGGAAAATGTGAAGGCAAGAGGAGAAGGGGACGACAGAGGACAAGAGGGTTGGACAGTGTCATCAAAGCGACCAACATGAATTTGACCCAACTCCGGGAGGCCGTGGAAGACTGGAGGACCAGGCGTGCTCTGGCCCACGGGGTGACGGAGAGTCGGACACGACTAAACGACAAGGAGGAAACAAGGTACTGATGCAGCCGGTGATTGACCCATGGGGCAATTCAGTAGGCTCTAATCTGCGAGCAGCAAGCCCTTGCTCGTTTTGTATGATGCCGTCTTTCTGCTCCAACCCACATATTTCTAAACAATTGAGAGGCTCCTCATTCCAGCTCAAGCATTGGCTGCAGCAGCTTGAGGTTGAAATAGATTTCTGTTTTTGGGGTTCCACTCGTTTTTTTCCACCTATCCCTGAAATATGGACACTGAGAGCCTTTTGGGAAATTGAGTTTGGCCCCCTGGGATGACTTGAAAGAGCTTCTTCTTCTTCGGGCGTTTCCTAGTAATTTGTATTTCTTTCAGTCGGGCAGGATCCCATGGGAGGCTTCCTCTGGTGGAAATAGTTTTTGCCATCGGAGTGAGGAGGGGGAGCCATCTTTCTTGGGGCCCAGAAAAACTGCGCTGGACAAGGTAAGGCGGGGGGGGACCCCAAAGGGAGAGCGTTTTCAGCACCATGGACAGCTCAAGGGGGAAAGATGCTGCAAAGCCAATTTTGGCTTGGATTCAAATTTGGGAATGTGGGAAAGTTGGTCAGAGCCGTGGTTCTCAAACTGGGATCTCCCCAGATGGACTAAAACTCCCAGAAGCCTTCACCACGAGCTGGGCTGGCCAGGAGTTCCCGCCCGAGAACATCCTGGGGACCCCAGCTGGAGAACCACGGCTCTAACCAACTTTTCCACGTTTCCAGATTTGGATGTTGACTTTTACAGGAGATTAGAACATAGATTTCCTCTAAAACGGGAGATCCTTGGGGGCCTTTTAGGGGCTCATGGGTCTTAGTTTTTTTTTGGGGGGGGTCCCTTGGAAAGCTGCTCCCCTATTGCTTTTTATAGGGAGCCCTTGACCGCTGGCTGGAGAGCTCAGTGGTTTTAGGCCTCTGGCTCCGGGGCCAGAGGTTGGGAGTTCGATTCCCCCCCCCAATGGGCTTTCTGGGAGGAGAAGAGCCAGCCTGGGTAGCCTTGGGCCAGCTGTACAGTCCCAAGGTTGCCCCCTAGAGGAAGGAGATTGAAACCTCCACTGGGCCTCCTGGGAGGAGAAGAGCCAGCCTGGGTAGCCTTGGGCCAGCTGTACAGTCCCAAGGTTGCCCCCTAGAGGAAGGAGATTGAAATACACCTCTTGAGTCTTCTCTGGAAAACGGTCACCATAAGTCAGAATTGATTTGATGGCGCTTGACGACTATCATGGTGGAGCCCTGGGGTGAGTCTCCTTCTTAGTCTACCATTTCCAGATCCTCCCCCCTCCCAAGTCAGAATCTCAGTGAGGGTGGCCGTCCTACTCCCATAGAGGTACGTCCTCTTGTCAACGGATACCTACTTGGCTCGGATAGCACTGAGGTCGTTGCTCTGGCTCACCAAGGTCTTGCATTTCTCCAGGAGAGCGTTGGTGGTGGCGTTCCCGGAATGAAGGGTCTCCAGCCTCTGGCACAGCCGGCTCAGGTCTCCGCAGAGGTTCAGGAACATGAGCAGGATGCGCTTGTCGGTGCTGTTGTTGCAGTAGTGGTCCATGTACATTTGTACCTGTCGGGGCGCAAAAGGGTGAGTCGGTTGGGTCGCCCGCTCAAGCCGTCGGGAGTCGCGGGTGAAGCCGTCCCCGGGGTCCCGAGCGCAGGATTCGAACTCAAGGTTAGGAAACTCAACAGTTCGACATGGCCTCGGTGGGCCGGTTTCCTACAAGGTGGGAGGAAACAAGACCACCCACTACAAAAGGACTTTAATTGTTCTGCAGAATGAGGAGGAAACAGGGCTTTTAATACCCAAACAGTGGGGCTCGGGGTTTACAAATGTGCGCCATTTGTCTACCCTACGAGTCACGTCACCACGTCTGCATTCCTCATCGGGCTAATAATAGCTCATATCACCTCATCGGGCATTCCTCATCGGGCATTCCTCATCGGGCTAATAATAGCTCATTCCTGATATATAGCTGACTTCTACCGTAGCTGATTTCTGCCCTGTTTTTTTTTTAAATATATAGGATTCTCTATTTGCTGTCTCATTGATAACCTTTCCCGTGGCACCCCGTTCTTCGTTTTCCTTCACCCTTTTCACAACACATTCCTAAAAAGTCGGGGCTTGATCCTTAAAAGTTCCTTAATATCGAACATGACAAAGCGGAGAAGCAAAATGGTACTCCTTACACTAGGCGTAAACCTGGATCGAAATATTCTTAACAAGATCAGTGGGTCTAAAAGCGCTTTCATTTGGACGCTGTGTGAAGTGCCTTGATCGATGGATGGATTGATTGATTAAACTGAGTGGGCTTTCTCTCCTTTCTGTTTTGGCCCCTTTCCTCTGCTAAAAAAAGCATTTCCTGCTTATATTAAAGCATTCTTATTATTCCACTTTTCAACAGCTTACATACAATTAGTGAAAGATTACAGTCTCTGGCTTGGAGGCTTAAACAGACGGATAGTAGAGAAGAGGGTGAAAAAGGCATCTCGGCTTTCAAGAGGACTGGCACAACGGAGGCCTGTTTCCTGTCTCATTTCCTCAGGCAGCCTGCAGGTGGTGCCTTAAAGACAGTGTATAAATACTTAATTCAAAAATAAATGAGGTAGGACAGCGTGGTAGGTACAGTGACGAGGCATTCAAAATCATGCTTATGCACAAAGCTTTCAGAGTGACCTCAAGCTGATGGCTGAGTATCAAATTAGACATTATGTTTAGCATTTTTAAAGAGGAGGTGCTCCCTGTCGTGAAAAAAGCATCTGTTTGTCACAGCATGCGGTTTGGCTCTGCTTGAATCTTCCCTTTCCTGTGCTTTATTTTGTGACTGGGGTTTTATTGTCGGGAACGTTGGTGCCTTTTAATGTCTCATTTTGATGCTTGGCTTTGGAATTATCTCCTCTCCTGGTTGAAAAAGCCTGGAGCCATTTACCCCTTGCCACGACATGCTTGTGGCACTACAAACGCTCCGTTAAAAAGGCCAAAAGCTTGCTTAATGTGTGCAAAAAAAAAAAATAAAAAAAATTCACAGGAGACTGCCCTAAGACAGGGAATGGGAACCAGCGCCCATCACCTAAGTTCTTCCTCAAAAGATATGGGGTGGAGAAAACGTTAAATGCAAGATCGACAGGCGAGGAAAACCACGTGTTCTGTGACAAGATTCCTTTAACCGCCTGACAGCACTCCCAGTAAAAAGGGTCCAAAAGCCTCAAATTTGTCAATTCCCAGAAGTCCGCGAGCGTAGAGCTTCCCAAAGACTTGAACTACAAACCCCAGCATCCATGACCCTTGGCTCCATAGGCAGAGGCTGATGGGAGTTGTCGTCTAGGAAGCGCTGGCAGGCCAGAGGTTGCCCATATGGGGCCGAAGCATCCCAAACACAGGGAGGGAACAACAGAGACGAGCCGCTTGCCCCAGACCGAAAAGTAAGAGGAAGGATTTTTATTGTCGTTCTACGGAGAGGTGTGTGTGTGTGTGAAATCTGGGGAAAGAGCCAGATGTTGTTCTTTTGTCGGCTTCGGAGAGAGCCAGATGTTGTTCTTTTGTCGGCTTCCTTGCCTGGCCCTGTACCTCCTTTTTTGCCTTTCCAAAAGAAATGTCCACAGGGTGGTTCGCGAAAGGAGAAGGAAGAAAGATGACCAGGAAGAAATCTCTCCTGGACCAGGATCTGCGGCCACGTCGGACCCTCCGTCGGCTTCTTCCCCGGTCTCGGGTCGGCTGTTAGCAGAAAGCTCCTCTCCCTCTACCAGAAGCCACTCGTATTTCCCGGCCTTAATTGAGTCCCCCGGCGACGGACTCAGCAGAAAAAGGCAAGGGTCTGCCTGAGCTTGTCGCCTCCTGATTTTAAGTGGACCCAGAAGATTCTCGCGCTGGGGTACGCTGGTGCATCTCGGGCCTGCTGCCTCGCACCCCCATAACGCCCCGGAATAGATCAAAATAACCCCAGGTCTCGTCGGAACAGCGGGAGACGAGGAGGGGGACTCTCCTTTGACAGCTTCCGAGGACGCCGGACTCTTCCAGAGAAAGTGGAAGGAAGGGACTTGGAACTTCCATCTGGCGCCGGCTGGCTGTTAAAAGAAGTTTTTTTTCCGCTGACTCTTGTGAGTTTCACCTGCCTTTAAAATAGCAAGCGCTGGCCTTTCGTAGCAAAGCTCTTAAGCTGTCCTGACTGAGAGGTTTCCCAGTTTATCGGGCGGGAGTGGGGACGGCGAAGAGGGACGCCAGACGCCGTAGAAATCACAGGCAAAGGTAAAAAATGGAGATCCTCGAATCGTGGAACGGGGAGGGGGTCTCAAAGGCCATTGAGTCTGACCCCCCTGCTTGTACCAGGGTCATTTCCCCATCTTCGGGACTTGCAGGGTGAGAGGTACGTGACCCTGAGGTCCCCCAAAATGGGGAGAGAAGCCCATGAAAAATGGAACAGCATTGGGAGCAGCTGAACATCTGCCCAAAACCAGTTAAAAAATTTAAGTTAAAATTTTCAATTTAACTTCTAGAAATGTCCAGGAGCTATCCTGCTTGCCGGCTGCAAAAATATATATATATATTTTTAACACGGATGGTTGGGTGGGCCAGATGAAGAGATACGCCAGGCTACAGAGATAAGGCTGGAGAGGGCTAGCAACATGATTCTGGTCTCTGGTGCGAGTCTCGCCCCCTTGGTGATGTATGAGGAGTCAGTGACAAACAGGCAAATCTAACATTCATGTCTACTCTCGAATGTCCACAATACAATATTTTTTCACGCACAGTAGTGTGTGTGTGTATTTATGAAGTATGTGGTGTGTGTGTGTTGTTTAAAAGAGAAATTCCAGGACCCAGCACTTAAGAGCTGACACTTTTTCCGAGGTTAGTACAGCCGCAAAGTTCCACCTGCCCCCCCCTCCAAGGACGGACAGCTTGATGCCACAATGCATCATGCCATTTGGGGGGGGGCACATCGCCATTATTTTTAATAGGCAGCATCCAGAGCCCATCGGGGATGCGGAAGGAGGGGAAAGGGGGAGACCACTGCAGACAAGGAAGCTGTTGCTAGAACTTGTTACGTAGTCCTGAATTTAATGAGAAAAAGAGAGCATAGGGTGGGTTTTTGATCATCTAGAGAAAGCAGGCGAGAAGGCTACCTCTACACCTCTCTACCCTGGACTGCGAGGAAGACAAAGAAGTGGATCCCGGATCAGATCAAGCCTGAACCCTCTCTGGAGGCAGAAATGATGACACCGAGGCTGTCCTGCTTTGAGCACCTCGCGAGAAGGCAGAATTCTTTGGGGAAAAAAGACCACCATCCTGCTGGGAAGCGTGGAAGGCAGCAGGAAAAGAGGAAGACCCAATAACACGAGACAGACTGACTCCCTCAAGGAAGCCACAGGCTTGATTTTACAAGAGCGGAGCAAGGCTGTGAAGGACGGGACATTTTGGAAATCACTGTGGAGCTTAAAAGAGGAGCCGACTTACGAAGAAGCCACAGGCTTCGGTTTAAAAGAGCGGAGCAAGGCTATGGAGGACGGGACATTTTGGAAATCCCTGTGGAGCTTAAAAGAGGAGCCGACTTACCAAGAAAGTCCCTTCCCACCCATCTAACTTAGAACACTTTCTGCATTAAAAAAATTCAGAAGAAACTGGATAATTCTTCTAACCGTCTCGGGGGGGGGGAAGAGAAGGGGTGGCCTGCTTTCTGGGTGCTCCGATCCCGGAGCCGGCCCTCCCCTGGCGTCCCCGAGGGGCTCTCCTACCTGTCCGATGCTGGACACCGGCTTGATCTTGTCATGAGCGTTTTCTCGGGTGTGTTCCAGCGCCGCGATGAAGGTGAACTGCTGCTGTTGGAAAATCTTGTAATTCTGTTCGATGGTCCGTAGGCTCTCTTTAATGTCGTTCATCTTCCCCCCCTCCTAGAAATGAGGGAGAGGAAGAGAAAAAAATGCGTTGAGTGTACGTTTCGTAAACGAGACTCTTCCAGACGAGTCACGCCTCTCCTTTATTTTGCGATGATGTTGCATCAACCCTAGGCTCACCATCGTAGTTGATTTCGAGGTATGCGAGATATTTAAGGAGTGGTTTTCTGTGCCCTGTGCGTTTCCATGGCTAAGCGGGATTCAAACCCAGGTCCAATAACCCAGAAGAAAGATCCTGCGGCCTTATTTTAGTCGTTGAATAAAAGGAATGACCTGTCCTTATTTGTTTATTTTTTGGGTGGGGGCTGAATTTTGCACATTGTCCGGATACATAACCTTTGGAGGAGTCTGAGCTAGCTTGGGAAATGCTCCATGAGGAAGAGATGGGAAGATGGAAAAGGAGAACATCATTAAAACAAGGATGATTATTTCCCTGATGGCTCCTCTTCGCTTCCTTGGCATGTTTGAATTGACAGCTGGCGTTTTTTTTAAAAAAGGACAACATGTAACACCCGTCATTGGCGCGGATCGGTTCTCATCGGTTGCAAAACCTTAGCATTCATGATTGCTCAGAGGGCCCGATTTTTCTTTTCCGTTTGTGTTCCTCCCCTTTTTTTGCAGCCGATAAGAAGCAGGTTAGCTTCTTTTACGATGGGCCCCAAGGGAGACAAACTGCACTCTGTGTGTGTGTGTAAGGGGGGGGGAAGGAAAGATGTATCGCATTGAGACTCTTCCCATCCCGATGCCCCAAACAGTAACTCAATGTGGCTGTAATGATGCTGCGGAAAGAGGCAGGCGATCCAGGAGGGACCACTGACAATCGGATGCCATAAACCCTAGCGAGTCGGTTGTAAATGTAATGCGGCCGTGCATCAACCGTGATGCGGCAAAAAGACCAACGGGACAGATGCCGCCTCTTGGCTAGCGTAAAAACTTAACGGCTTCCTGCCATTAGGCGGAAGGCCGGGCGACAACATGGATGGAGGAACGTAGGGGGTATGTCTGTGTGTGTGTGTCTGAGGCTGCCTTTAACCTTGGCTTGCCCGTGGCTGTTGGAGGAGCGGGACGGTGACTTTGATGGGTTTTTGGAGGGGAATGTGCCTCCTATCTCAACCTAGGGTCTCCTCCGTGGATGGTAAGAAACAACGGATTACAGAGAACACTATTTTAATAGCTCACGCCATCCCTAGCAAGGTCTCTGGCTCGTTCTGGTCATGTCACCTTGAGAAATAGTTTTCTATTAATAGGTTTAGGCTGTGGATAAGGGAATCAGCGGATACCGTGTTCCTTACTGTATATTTCACTTTGAACCCATTGCTTTTAGATGATGGAAGCTAAAAAAGGGCTAGGCCTGGTTAGTGCTCGGATGGGAGATGGCTGGGGTACGTCAGAGAGTCTTTACCTTGATGGTAAAGCATCTGCTTTGAATGCAGTATTTCCCGGGTGAAGAATTTCCCAGGGAGGGTTGGGAAAGCATCCTGCCTCAAAAGTCTTTCTTGCCGCTGCCGGTCAGGGTCGGCTGCATGAGGCCGGGGGGCTCCAAACCCCTAGAAGGCAGCTTTCCAGCTGCTCCTTGGAACAAAATTAACATAGAACTGTTGCCCGTGCTTGTGTTTTTCCTCTCTCCTCCCTGTCTCCTGTTCCTCTTGTGTCGTATCTTTTGGAGATTTTTTTAAAAAAGGTGAAGTTACCAGTACTGGCCACTAGATGGAGCCAGAGAGCTATGCTGTATACAGCGTTAGTGTTGCCCCGCTTCTACCGTGACCCAAAACGGGCCCGCTAGAGGGAGCCAGAGACCATGCTTGGTATACCCGCGTTTTTCAGCATCCGCGGAGGAGTTGGCACCGATCCCCCCACGGATAGAGGGTGTGGTGTGGTCCTGCTGTATGATCAACCCTCTCCATCTCCCAGTTGCTCCAGTGCCCCTTCTCTCCCATCCCTTCTTCACCCCCCCCCACCACCAACCCCCGGTCCTTCCTCGCCTCGCTTTGGCTCCGTTCCCCGATCCTGCATGTCCCGGAGCTGCGGCCACGTGGTGGGCAAGCGCAGCGTCCTGGGCGCTGAAAGCCTCTCGTGGCTCTCCCGCTTTTGCAAGCCAGCCAGGCAGGCAAGGCAAGGCAATTGGCGCTTGCAAGGGGCTCTCCCGCTTTTGCAAGCCAGCCAGCCAGGCAGGCAAGGCAATTGGCGCTTGCAATTGTTAGACAGGCGTCTGTCTCCCCGGGCAACCGGGAGGGGGGGAGAGGAGGAGGGGGAATAGCCCTGAAGGGGCTTCCCCCAGTTGGGCTTTTGGGGGGGTGGGAAACACCGGCAGGGCATGATGGGGGGGCCCGTTTAAGAGGGGATCCCCTGCTCTACAGAGAGCTTAAAGGGGGGGGACTCCAGCAGAAGGAGCAGTCTACCTGTGCCTCTTGGGGCTGTGATGGGGACGATGACACGTGAGCGGATATAGAGGTCACGAGAAGAGGAATGCAAGCGACTAGAAAATTAATATAGTAACACTGGAATGGAAAGATATTAACACTGAAAACAACACTGAGTATGATTTAATTTAAAAAAATCATTTTAGAATTGCATTTAGATTCCTAAATTTAGAATCCCAAATCTTCTATTTAGGATTATTCGACCTTTGAGGTGAAGCTCGAATGATCATTATCTCCAGGATATTATGAAGATGATTATTACACACGCATGTTCCCAAAGAGCTAAAATGCTAGATGGTGATGATAATTGCTCTTCTGAGTGTGTTTTTATTTTTCTTTTGATCGATAATGGTGTTTTATCCTTGTTACACGGCTCAGAATAGTGCAATGCCCTAATGGGCTGGTATGCGTGTTTTGTGTGTATACACGTGTAGTATCTATCAATCTACCAATCGATCAACTAATCGATCAAATTAAAAGTCATAATCCTTCCTTCTACAGCAGCCATCCTGGACGAGGCGGCCGGTAACTGGAATCCAAGCGAAGAGGGAGGGCCCCAAAGGACCCTGGCTCCAGAAAAAGTTACTTTTTTTTGGACTACAACTCCCATAATCCCCCGTCCAGCAGGGCTTTTCCTCCCCCTCCCCTCTGCTTTCAAAGACGGCTAAGAGAGAAACGGCACTTGGGCTGTTGGAGATGCGTGTCACTAAGGAGACGACACGTGTCGGCCCTTTCGCACGGCTAAGACGATCCCGAGATCCGCGGTCCTCCCGTTTCCCGCAGTCTGAAATGGCTGGCGGTTCGGGGAAGGGAGGGGGGGGGAATAAGAAGAGGCGAGAGCGGTCGCGGACTGATGACGCGGGCGGGCTTGGGCCCCGCCCCCCTCGAAGCCTTAGCAGTAGAGGCGGCGTGGGCGGGGCCGACGGCGAGCGGCGTCCCTCCAGGCGTCGCGCGCGGGATGGCGTCACCGCCCTTAGCAACCGGCGGTCGCTAAGGGGCGCCATGGACGCCACGAAGAGGCCTCTCTCGGTCCCTGCGCGGATGGGGCGCTACGCGGAGGAGCAGCGGCTTTTCCACACCATGAAGGTGAGGAGGAGGAGGAGGAGGAAGGGGGAAGAGGGGCAATAATTAGGGCTGTCCAGAAAGCAGAGCTCATTAATGAAGCAGTTGCTTGAGCCAGAGGAGCTGGCTGCCTGGAACTCTCTATTTATTTATTTATTTTATTTTACTGTATTTTATTTTATTTATATCCCGCCCATCTGGTCTTCCGACCACTCTAGGGGAAGTGACCATGTTCTAAATGAGTTCTTGATTTCATAGAAAGCAAAATGGAAGAACATGTGTACACCGGATTTTAGGAAAACCAATTTTAATAAACTATGGACAATGATAAGTAAGATCCCATGGCAGAGAGAAAAGGGCCATAGTTCTGTTATGGGGAGCAAGAATCTTGTTTTTAAGCTGAATTGCACTTTTCAGATCACTGAATTGTTTACTCTAAATCTTTTTTTTTCCTTCTTTAAGATATCCCTTTATTGGAAATAGGTTTACTTACTCCTTGAAAATATGTATGCCAAATGTCTTTCTTTAAAACATTATTGAAAACATGTCTTGATTTAAAAGACATAGGTTTACTTATTTATTTAAAAGCGACGCCGGCTCTCTTCTTTTATTTAAAGTCTGTCAAGTTTCTTTCTTTAAAAATCTTACTCAATTTAAAAAAAAAAGGTTTTCTTTCT